TGGGGACAATCTTTTTAGTAGGGCCTGCTGTGACAGGACAAGGGGTGATGGTTTTAAACTAAAACAGGGTAGGTTTAGACTAGGTATAAGGAAGAAATTCTTTACCATGAGGGTGGTAAAACACTGGAATGGGTTGCCCAGAGAGGTGGTAGAAGCCCCATCCCTGGAAACATTCAAGGCCAGGTGGGACGGGGCTGTGAGCAGCCTGATCTAGTTAGCGGTGTCCCCGCTCCTGCAGGGAGGTTGGACTAGATGACCTCTAGGGGTCCCTTCCAACCCAAAACGTTCTATGATTCTATGATTCTATGATTCTATGATTCTATGATTCTTTAACCCTAACAGGGTCCTGCCATGGGGAACCTTAACACCCTCAGAGCCCTGGCAGGGGGGTTGTGCCAATCCACGTGGGTTTTGGCTGATCCATTTGGTTTTCCAGGAGCAATCTGAGTGATAGAGGTGTGTGTGCCAGTGCAGCACTCAGAGGCTTGGTGGGGCCTGCAGCTCGCCCCATCTGACACCGGCATGGGCGCCGTGAAAAGGCAGGAGAATCCCTAAGCAGGGGATTTGCCCCCAGGAGGTTGGTTTCAGGGGATGTTCCACGAATATATCCTTGCCTCCGGTCTCTTCTGTGTCCTTAGGTGCAACCCAGAAGATGGCAGCCAGGGTACCCTTGGGGAGGTGATGGAGATGTCACCGTAGATAAGCCAGTGGGCATCTCAGGGGGTTTGGGGGTACCTCAGGAGAGATGCTGAGGGAAGGAGGAGCCCGGGGCTGTGCACCCACCAGAAGAAGCCGCAAGGAGAGGAGCAGGGGGAGAGCACAAAGGTCTTGGCAAAAAGGCCATAACCACCGTGGCCAGGACCTGCCTGGCATTGCTTGCCCGTGGGAGGCTACGAAAGCGCTGGGACTCGGAAGTGCTGGTGTTTCAAAAGCAGAGCCTGGGGCACAGAGGGCATGGATCCCTGGGCACTGAGGGCATGGATCCCTGGGCACTGAGGACATGGATCCCCTCAAAATGTGGGCGGACGTATGTGGCCAGACAGGCTGAGCAGCCCTGGGAGCCAGCTCAGCCCATTTGCTCCTGAGCCAAACCAGCACCTGGGTAATAACAAAATAAAACCCGCCCCTCCCTGAACACGCACGGCCAAGCACCGGGGAGCGGAGGCACGCGGGAGCTGGCTTGAGGGGATGGGTGGGAGCCAGCGAGGGGCTGCTCTGCTCCACCAGCACTTTGCAACCCACCCGGGTCCTGCCTGGGTGCCGGGGAGGCTTCCGTGCCTCCTGACCATCAGCTCAGGTCGGTCAGCGTGCAAAACCCTTTCTCTCTCATTCCTGAGGTCCTGCCGGTGATTGCTTGTTTCCTGGTTCCCTGGATCCCTTGGCGGGGGGGGATCTGGAATGTCCCTGCCATGCACGAACCGAACCCAGGGTGCATCAGTCTGCGCTGGCTGAGGTGGAGGAGGCTCGGGGCAACCCTGGATTTCCTGAGCTGTCAGGCGGTGATGTCTGCAAAGAATTACCACGTTTCACTGGAAAATAACTGGAAGGCTGCTGGGATCGTTTTCTCCCCTAGTGGAGACTCAGCGCCCACACACGCCAGACCGGCTTCCCATTAAGTTTCATCCTTGCTTCTCACCGGGGAGGTCACCCTCAGCAGCCCTCCCCTGTCCCCTACCAGAGGAAGGGGTTAAGTCATCTGGTCCTAAACCAGGCAGATGCAACCCAAGGTCCTTCCTTTGCCGCTGCGGTGCTCCCGCTCCCGCTCCTGAGGCTTTTGGGGAGGTAAATCGCTGTCCCTAGAAGCCAACCCCGGCTGCAGCTCAGCGGGCGTCGCAGCACGGCGAGCTTGCAGCGCCCGGAGGTATTTCATCATCAAACGTGCCGAGGGGCAGGTATTTATCACAGCCGCCCCTCTGTCGTTTCTGAGAGGCTCAGGAGGGCAGCGAAGGCATTTCGCTTCTTGCTTCCCAATTAGGAGAGCTGTAAAAGCCACCCTTTGATGGCAGACCAGGGTCACATCCCCGCTGGTGGACACCAGCAGCTCTGGCCACAGCTCCCGGGGCGCCCAGGGTGCAGCTCAGGAACGGGACCCCGAGGTATTGGGGAGATATTCCTGTTTTCAGACAGTTCCTGCTTGCTTTGAGCAGAATGTGGCTCATTCGTCACGACAGAAACCCGTTCAACCTCTCCTAACCCCTGCAGCCCAGTCTGCTTCGCTGAGATACCTAAATATGTAAAACTTGATTCGCTAACGAGCGCCCGCGTTCAGCCAGGCGTTAGAGAGGGGTGTCGGGAACAGCTTCCCCATCAAAGAGCCGCACGCCGGCTATTTTCCTTTCAAGCCTGGTTCCACCCATCGCAGCTCAGGGCTGACGATTTCAGGGAACTCAGTTGAAAAGTTTTTTTGGATGTATCAAGTGGGAGGGCGAAATCTAATGTATAGCCGAGTCTAGCGCAGATGTCTTCTCGCTGCCATGGTAACCAAACTAACTAAAAATAAAAAGTATTCCCATAAATGTCAAAACCACACCAGGCTTCCATGACGTATAGCGCATCTGACCTGAAATCTGTAATCGTTATGTAACGATGTTTAATGCTGCGGTAATTACCTGGGAAAATGGTCTCCGGGTCAGCCAATTTGCGTAGCTTTGGTAGTCGATCTCCT